TGTGTACATTAGATTACAACTTGATGGCAATGACATGCACTATATTATATGTAAGTAGTAGGTAACTTCATAAAGAAAATATGTTGCCAAGGTCAGGCAATATCTTTCATATTAGAATTGGAATTAGTTGTATCGGATTGTTGCGAAACTAAGAAAGCAGTTGTGGATAATCACTATCAGCAATGCTATAAATTGGTTCATATGATTTTTACAGAAGATCTTTTCTTGTTTAAGGCTCATTATTATTATCAATTATAATGAAAGATGAGTAGGCAATAATAGAAAAGTAAAAAAGAAGTTACTTTTTGGGATTGCCTAAAATTACATGTATCTATCAAAAATTGTAAAAATTAAATTTTGGGCATGTTCAATTTTAATCATACCGCCATGTAGTTACGCATCATTCGAAAATCATTTATTGGATAGGTGAGAGTGAAAAGTTATATCTAAAGTATTATCCTACTATCTTTGATTTCATTCTAATTAGTCCAGCGCGCTTTAAACCACCTATATGTTATTAATAGGTATTTAATTGGACAAAAAGTACAGTAAAAACATACCTACTTAGCATCTAACATTAAGCCTAATTTATTATAAAAAAATATGTGAGGTAAAATTGAAGGAGAAAACAAGATAATTGTACATAACTATGTTACAAACAAAATGTCTTCATGAATTTAAGAAAAAGCGATTTGATAATCAATCTACGTGTTGATAAAGGTTATCAAATCGCACACCTCGTTTTGCTGTCATAATAATATGTAAATGTAGTTATGTATTACATACGAAACGTACGCATCATAGTGACGTACCTATAAATCTATACATGTATTATAAAATTGTAACTAAGGCGAATCTGTATATTAGATATTTTTTTGGAAAATGTTATTGAAATAACATTATTATCGATACAGAGGCCGGATGTATGGTTTTTAGAATTTTTGTCTGTCTGTTACCGCATCAGAAAAACTACTGGAGGGATTTTGATGAAATTTGGTACCTATGGTGATAGCTGGTTATCCGGGTTAACATATAGAATAGTTATAACCGCGGCAAAATATCTCATTTCTGAGAAAAACTACAAAAACTGCATTGTAAGAGTATACTAATATGTAAAACCTAAGAATTTGCTTTTTGGTCATCTGAACGCGGGCGGAGCCGCGGGCAATGCTAGTGCAATCGGTTTTAATGAACTTTTTATTAGTATATCCATAAGAGATAATTTAATAAGTACCTAAGTACGTGATGATTATGAAATTGTCCACTACATATTTTCATTTATTTTATCAACTTTCATATCACCGGTTAACCGCCGTACGCAATGTTTTGATAAATTGACGAAGCAAGATAAAATATATTATTTTCGGGTGTGTTTATTAAGTAGGTAATCTACTCGTATACGTATACAACTACACAGTAACTAAGCGAAATCTGAACATTAAATATTTCTTAAAAACAATGACTGTAATGTATTCTGTACATGATATAGACCCCAAAACAATAGTTATAAAAAAAAGGCTGTGTGTGCGCGTTTCATGCGAAAAACCGACTTCAACGAAATTTGGTGAGGTGATAATTTATTACTCGGGTCAACATTTAGGATAAACTTTTACTTCAAGAAAATCTTTCGTTCCCACGGGAAAACAGAATAACTGGTTTTATCGAGTCGTCCTTAGAAACCTTCCGCTGGCAATCAAAAACAATGTACTTACAAAAAAATTGTAGGTCTTGAAAAGAACTACAATAAAGTCTATAACATTATAATGTCTATCTCCTAAGGTAAACTCGCAATACCTACTCTTATATATACATGTAAGAAGACTAACTTAGTCAAATCGATTTTAATTTTTACAGAAAAATTTTAAGATTTAAAAAGGTCTACTTACAGAAAAATTTGCAATAGTAGGTACATATATGTCTATCTCCTGAGGTCCACTCACAATAACTATTTTTATTATATACAAGCGAATCAACCTCGCGTCGCTTGGGTTCGTCACTAAGTTAATACAAACTTTCATCCCTATTTTCACCACCTTAAGGGATGATCTCCGAGATAAAAACTGTCCTATGTCCTACCAGAGTCTCAAGCTATCTTCTTACCAAACTACTAAATCGGTTCAGTAGATCCAGAGATTACCCCCTACAACCTCACAAACTTACAAACTTTACCTCTTTATAATATTAGTATAGATTAAAGGAAATGTTACGCAAGACTCACTGATTAACTTATCAACGTTCAGCTCAAGCCAATGATCATAGACAAGTACCATAAAAAAGCTAGCTTTATATATCCATACTAATGTAAATGCGAAAGTAACTGTGTCTGTCTGTCTGTTCGTCACCCTTTCACGCTTAATCTGCTGAACCGATTTAGATGAAATTTGGTATGGAAATAATTTGAGACCCTGGGAATGACCTACGATAGTTTTCATCCCGGAAAACTAATCATGTATAAGGGGGTAGAAGGGAGGGTGGAAGATTAAATGGGGAATCAATCATTTCTCAAGTAAAGGATAATATTATTTTTTTTATAATACCTACTTACCTACTTTTCTATGCCTATGTATATATATTGTACATATCTATTCTATACTTACCGTTAAAAACGTACCTAGGGAGGAAACCAAACGAAGCGAGAGTAAGACGCTAGTACTTAATAAAATATCTGATACCTAACTTTAAACGAGCAATTCTTGTTTATTTATTTATTTATATATACCGGCGATCTCAGAAACGGCTCTAAAGATTTCGCCGAAATTGGTACGTGGGGGTTTTCGGGGGCGAAGAATCGCTCTAGGTTAGTCTTATGTCAGGGAAAATGCATGTTTTCGAGTTTTCATACGGTTTTCTTTCGCATTATTCCACGCAAAATATGGTCCCTAATTTCGCATGCATAAGCATGGTCACGCGGCCAAGGCGCAAGATTGACTATTACAGGTGTCCGGGTTCGAATCCCGGTCGGATACAAAGTTTTTACTTTTGATAATACTTTCTTAGATTTACGCGAATATTTGACATTTTAAATAAAACTATCTTTTCGGATTTTGTCGCGGATTTATTTGCATTTTTGTTTCCCGACGTTTCGAATGCTTTACAGCAATCATGGTCACGGGAGAGACTGACTGGCTAAGTAATTAAAGCCTACCTATTAAATACATATCTAATCAAATATTTTCGAAATCGGTGCCAGCCCATACAAAGCAAAACACACCGACTTCGAAAATATTTGATTAGGTATGTATAGTAAATGAAAACTACCAATCAGTTATTTTTTACTTTTTAGTGCTTTTGTTTGAAGTCGGTTTTTATTTTTTTGTTAAAAAGTTTTTATTTTTCCCTTTTTAGTGTAGACAGTAGTAGTAAAGTAAGAATTCTAAACTGTTAGGCTTGTCAAACCAAACAAAATAACCCCAAACTCAAAGTATCTACTATTAGTCGTTGAAGAGTTCCCTAACCACCTTCTAGCTTCACTGTCATATCAGCGCGGTGATACCAAATCACTTTAGATACTATCATCAGATATATAAAGAATTGCAAAGTTTCAAGTCAATATGACAATTAGAAGTAGGTTAAATTCATTATTACCTATTTTTCCACTCTTAAGGGTGGTATTTTTTTTTTAATTTAAATGGGACCAATCTGGAAGTATACCCTTTCAAACAAAACAAAAATTGTCCAAATCGGTTAATAAATGACGAAGTTCTGAGGTAACAAACATAAAAAAAACAGTCGAATGGAGAACCTCCTCCTTTTTGAAGTCGGTTTAAAAAAATATTGAAGACCCGAAGTTTTATGATTTTAAAATGTTAGCAGGTATATAAGGAACAGAAATTCGTGAAATGCCCCACATGCCCAGCTACCCCCGAGAAATGGGAGGACGCAAAGCGTTAAAAAAATTTTTTTTCAATTTCCGGCTTACTGTGACGTTAAAAATAAAAATAAAAAAATAAAATAAAAAACTAGCATTGCCCGCGGCTCCGCCCACGTTCAGATGAACAAAAACCAAATTCTTAGGTTTTACATATTAGGATACTCTTACATTACAGTTTTTGTATTTTTTCTCAGAAATGAGATATTTTTCCGCAGTAAAAAGTATCCTATATGTTGACCCGGATAACCAGCTATCACCATACCAAATTTCATCAAAATCCCTCCAGTTATTTTTCTGTGATGCGGTAACATACAGACTGACAAAAATTCTAAAAACCATAGATTCGGCCTCTGTATCGATAATAATGTCTATTGCAAAAAGATTTTCCAAAACATATTTAATGTACAGAATCAGCTTAGTTACAATTTTATTATATGTATAGGTAGATATGTATTTAACATATACATATCAGACTAAAAAATAATCATACCAATATTGCGCATATTGCTATGATTATTTGCTAATAATTATTGCTGTTTTATTTTTGCATTTTAAATTTTTGAATCTAGTCGCTCAATTTTCTACGGCGAGAAACACAGGGGTGAAATTTGCAAAGCCGATATCCGCATACATAATATGTAGCTAGCAGCTTGGTAGGTATTTACTAAGATTGCAAAAGATACGAGATGTTTCGTCCTAAAAATATGAACTGTGATAATTTGGTGAATCCATCGTAAATTCTTTTCTAAATGTATTCGACCACACTGTTTAAATAAATAGAAGTCATAAAAATAGTACCGGGGGCCCTTTCGGGACAATCAAAAAATAACTTTTCTTGGTGAATTACCGGAGGCGGTTGACGCGGTTTCCCCTACAAGAACGTCCCTCCCGCCATTTCTCCCTCCGTAGAGTGGGCCATACAGAGACGGTTCGCGAAGCTCTCACGGTGCTTACTCCTTCAGTTTAGCGGGCAAGCCGTCATATTACACTCGTGTACATCGGGCTCGTAATCGTTTGGCGGGAACGGCGATCGCGCGATACGAAAATAACATAATAGTAAAATAATAGAACCATTTCTTTTTTTTTAGAAGAGTGTTTTACAATGACAATGTATAATAAATTAAGTTATATGTATTTGCAATGGTTCGTCGCTATAAATATTTTGGTAAGCTACGTATGCATATGACATTCTTTGTAAACATGTTAAATCCTTTTATTTTCTGCTGTTCCTGTCTACGTTATTTAAGTACCTACTAACGTACTTAAGAAACGTAGACCTTTACGTTAGTAAATAATTATTTGATAAAAAATTGCAAATAAAGTTAAAATCGTGTAACACAGCAATAACAATCAAAGTATGTATGTATATTTTACTATATTATTAATACAGAACATCATTAACAATATTTTAAAATATTGTTTTTTCACAACTTAGTTACAAATTCTATGATGCTAGAGTAAAAAAATAGAAATAACTAAATGTTACGTAAATTTTGAATTAGGTACACGCTAACCGACATAACCGGTAAATACATTGACAACACCAAAATCTGTTGACTTACAATTTGGAACGTAAACGTTTTGGCACTTTACCATTTACCATACAAGATAACGCTAACTGTATCCGTTGCAACATCTCGGATGGCTAAATCTTTCGATCCGGGAGCACCAAAGCCTGACGTAACATGGATAAAATTCGAATCGCGCTATCAAACATCAAAGGGCGTAGATGCATAGAGAGCCGAGAACCGCTATACTACCATATCAATTACTAGCGCCGCTCGGGTGCACCCAATTACTAGCTCGGCTTCACATGATTCGTATTTGTAACCGTAAGATTACTGGAAGAATCCTCGAGCTCGCGAGCGCGCTCAAGGAGTTACTTCAAACGTACATTTAGTGCTCTCGTGGAATATGTTTTTGTTGTACCAACGTTTTATTACCGCATGTTTTTGTACAGTAATTTTTCTTATTGCTTTTGTTTTTAATCAAAATGTCTATTGTTTATAGCTTTATAGAACTACTCAATAGAATAATATTCTATTTGTAGTGTACGCATTGAATAAAATGCATACCTACTACGAGTACAACTATAATATTTAATCAAAAATTATTAATTCACAATTTTTTAAAATTCAACCCTTATGTGCAAATACGAGTATATAACGATACAATTTGTGGCGTTGCGTAGGTGTAGTAATTATATTCAGTGCGTCATTATCGACGTCCTCATAGTCTTTAGTTTAAGGAATTTTGATTAAAGTTACATAAGAACTGCGTCAGAAGGATGATCCGAAGGCGTGGGAATAGACATGCACTGAGAGAGTGTCGGGGGGTTCTCAATTACCTACGCGATCTGTTTTTATTGCAATGCTCTTTGATGCTTCGACATTATCTCCATTGCGAAGGTTTGTCTTGGCAAATTACGTGCTATATAGAGGTTATAGCATTGCCCGTGGCTCCGCACGCGTTCAGATGACCAAAAACCAAATTCTTAGGTTTTATATATTAGTATACTCTTACAATGCGGTTTTTGTATTTTTTCTAAGAAACGAGATATTTTCTCGCGGTAAAAAGTATCCTATATGTTGACCCGGATAACCAGCTATCATTATACCAAATTTCATCAAAATCTATCCAGTGGTTTTCTCGTCATGCGGTAACAGACAGACAGACAAAAATTCTAAAAACTATAGATTCGGACTCTGTATCGATCGATAATAATGTCTATGTCGATTAGATTTTCCAAAAAATATTTAATGTACAGATTCGACTTAGTTATAATTTTATTATACGTATAGATTTATTGTTTATATATGCATAGATGCGTTCGTGCGTAAATTATAGAACATATTCTGTATTTAACTAGTTACACTAAGCAAGGCAGCTCTACGAAAGAAGCCGGGAGTGAAAACTTATATCGGGTATATATTAGTAATTGAGAGCTATAAAAAGATCCGATCAATGTCATAAATTCTTTCTTATTGATACTTACTCGTAGATACGTTTTAGGCCATACACCCATAACGCATGACCAACAATAAAATCTACGTGTTTTTAAAAAGTAGTCTTATACTTTCTGAAATATTAAAAATATACACCTATTAGTATCGATGACTTGTTAATATAAAATTATGATCAATTTCCTAACAGTCGAATAAAATAATATTGGCTTCCTTAAATTCAATAATACTCTATCTTTTATTTTCTTCGCGCAAAGTTTGCTTAGGTACTGCAAACTTCGTCCCGAGAACATCCATTACTAAAGCTAATAAACTTCGACTATTTTTTTCCATAAAGCAAAAGTTGTAAAATAGTTGCAAAAACATTATTTTTTTTTTAAATACACAAAGCATGTGGAGTCAAGAATAAAAATTACTGATTGGAACTCTTCAGAGAAATTAATGGAATTATTCTAAACCTTTATTTCGTTATCTTAAAATGCCTTAAGCAATGATGAATCCAATTAAATTGCATAATAGAAAATAATACATATCGGCGAAAGAGACCTTTTTTACCACCTAACAAATTAATTTTTTCTACGATTTATAAAATACGATTCATGAACGATAGCAACGGCCTTACGGCGTACTTAGTCTGTGACATGGGAATAGTGACTAAAATAGTAAACTGTAAACATAGTATTGTAATAAAACTATAAATGATATACTCGATCTTTTCTAGAGCAGTAGTCCCATAAGAAAATGAGACATAAAAATTAGTTGTATTATAAAAATATTCTTTCCAATTTTTTCGTGGTTTTATTTTGATTTTTATTTTCCGATATTCTAGAACCGCGAAATGTCCGAAGAAAAAGTATTATTCAAAATGTCGATTTTTAGCGTAAATCTAAGACAATATTTAATTTATTACTTTTAATTTTAAAATCAGTACTTAAAATTACTATAGGTAGGCCAAATTTACCTCGTCTTAAAGAAACAAATTATAAATGCCTATTTTTTTAAATACTAACTACTCGAAAATATTTATGGCGAAAGTGAAGGGATCTATGGCGAACATCGTGACTTCTTATCGATATTGATCTCGTACTATTTTGGTAATGAAAGCTTGAAATCATCGAACGTTTTCGTGACTATTTTAAATACCTTCAAAGGTAAATTGACGTAAGTACGAGTATATAAGATTAAATTTTTTCCATGTTAATTGTGGTGATAAATTTATTAAAATTTAGTTTAAATAAAATTTATTTTAAATAAAAAAATTACATATTTTACCCGTAGAGCTTTTCGTACACACTTGTAGAGACATTTAATATTTCTACAATATGTTACTTTTTAAGGTAGTAGACACCTACATTCTGAGCTAAAATATAATTTAACATAAACAAAACTATAAAAAGGTGTCTCGTTTAATAACTCACAGTCATAACATATATAGATATTTGGACTTATATCAACAAAAATAACGGTCTATTAATTTTTATGGTAACTATAATAGCACAAAACTACCATAGAATAAAACCTTTTTTTTTCAGATTTCTTTATTTCACTCGAATAAAATTAAAATCACATACCATAAAGAAAATCATAACGTATTAGTTTATGTTATCGTCATACCATCATACATTTACTTCTCTTTTATCTCATCTCATTCATCCAACATTCTATTCTAACATTCAGATAGACAGATAAAGTAATCAGCAAAGTGTTCTGCATGTAAAAACGATATATTTAAATAAACATTAGAGTTTTTATAATACGAATGAAACTCTTTCATTTTATATTTCAACTAAAAATATATTTAATAGAGCTTATTTTTTATGTTAACATTTTTAACTTTGAAATATGCTATTTATTATACGATATCAATTTTATTTTAATAGTAGATAGAGTATTAGTCAGTAACCTACCTATGTATGTATATAGTCGTTGTTATATTTTAACATAATTTTAATTTATTCATTCATTTCAGGCAATATTTATACCTTAAAAACTAATATATATATATATATTAATTTTAAAACTTCAAAAACATAAGCAAATTTACACAAAACAATATTATGTGGTGCCTTGAACTATAATTTAAGTATCGTAAACTTCACCGCAGCGCAATATGTTATTCTATTCAGTTAATCCAGGCATCTTTATGGTGAGTCGAACCTGATGTTTAAAAGCATTAAATCAAGTCTTGGTATGCTGTTGAATTGGCTAGTCCTAGCAGTACCGTTGCGTGGTCAAGTAGGTGTACCTGCGACCCTGTTTGCCCTATCGATCCATATATGCAGTATGGAACTTCCAGTCATCGATTTATGCTATGTACTGATACTTTTCCTATAATAACCAATTTGATATGGTATTGTTTAGTAATTTTATAATATTTGTGTGCCAACCTACTGTATCAAATATTTATTCATAAGAAACTTTTCGAAGATAAAATTGTCTTTACTTGAAATATATTTCAATCCATCATATTACTTTTCATGGCACACGTAAACAAGTTAGTCTGCCACATCTATCTCAAATTTCCTAAATGGAAAACTCTGTGTACTATTTTGTTGGCAAAAACATCTCCGTGTTCATTTATTATTATTCATACATAACACGAGATATGATCAACCTGAGAATCTCTTAACGATTTTATGAATCTCTTAGGCATGTATGTACCTAATATAACGGTATGTCCCTAAATTATGTTCTCAATTAATTTGATTAAGCTCATCTTACCGCTTATGTTGTCCCACTTGTACCTGTCGAGATGATCCAATATTACGATGTTAAAATTAAAATAATAGTGATTTGTTTGCGAATATTAATTGTTACATCTATTTTTTGCTCTGGCAAGCGTTTAATTCAATTATAAGAATGACAGGCGATGTCAGCATAGCACAGAAACTAGACAGCTTTCAACAAAAAATGTTACTGCCAATATGTCTTATCCATTTAAAAATCTAACATACGACCTACTTAATTCGGACAAGAGAGCTAATCAGGAGTGCTGTCATTAATTAACACAGTTATTCCCACACGAAAGAAAATCTTGGCTAACATAAAAACATAACGGATAATTTGTTTACTTGCGTTATTCCGTTATGATATAGAATTATGTAGATCTATTATATTTTATTATATTTTCTAAGATCAGAATGTAATGCTTAAAATAAAATGAGTTGAACACAAAAAAAAAGATTACGTATTCTTTAGTAGG